TGCAGATTCTGTGAGCAAGGTTTGCTTGGTTTTTGGCACCAATTAGTCTGTAATAACAACTTCTATAGTAACAACTTCTGTAAATTTGTAGTTTTTTTGCTGACAATAGTTAATAGCAGGTACTTGGCATGATCTGCATTCGACAGACTTGGCTATCTGGGTTATTTTAGTACTTATATTATTCTACAAACAGGTCTCCCCTTCCTCCTTTCTCAAAAATAGTACAGTTATTTCTTTTCATCCCCTCTATTTTTCCGTTTCCTAGTCAACGAAGGCTTTTTACCCTACCACGCGTCGTTAGACCAAGGCAGATCGTACAGCAGCTATCTCTTTCTATTTTTTGATGCGTTCTGACTACGGGAGATGTAGAGACGCGCGGTCTATATATTTTATACTCTATACGTCTATGTTTCATTCCCACTATGTCAATTTTTTACGCGGCTTATGTCGTTTTTTTCTCACAATATATAACTCGAGACTCTAGAATCATTTTGGATATCCCTGATATTGGACAAAGCTATCGGCAAATCTAATATTTGGGATACAGTTCCGAAAAGTACTCAAACCCGATTTTTTTGAAACTCAGTATTCTTACGTATTTTGATGCGCTGATTACGAATATCATAGTGAAAATTGGCGAATATTTGATTTTCATGGTGAAAACCATGAAAAACCCATAAAAATTATAGTTTTTTACGCTTATCTCAGTAAATACGGAAAATCATGAGAAATGTTTTAGACAAAAGTTTTAGATCTCACAGAGATAAACATTTTATGTCTTATTCATTTTTACCGTACAAGTAATAGTTTTCGATAAAATCAAAGTTAAACATATATCTCAAACCAATTGCTGTATAGGTGAAACTACAAAGGCTAACAGTACTGCGTAGAAGTCCCAATATATAACCTCGCTTTGCGTGGAAAGTTGCAAACCCATGTGGAACTTCGCTTCGCGTGGGAAAGTGTATGCGTAGAAACATTGGGTTCCGCCCCCCTGCGGGGGGCTCCACTACCATAAAACTAGACAAATAGGTTTGCGTGGAACCTCGCTTTGCGTGGAAAGTTGCAAACCCATGTGGAACCTCGCTTCGCGTGGAAAAGTGTATGCGTGGAAACAATGGGTTCCGCCCCCCTGCGGGGGGCTCCGCTACCAAAAAACTAGACAAATAGGTTTGCGTGGAACCTCGCTTCGCGTGGAAAGTTGTAAACCCATGTGGAATCGTATATGTACTGCAAAGTACATGCTTAGATGGGAGGACAGATATAAGATTTAGAGTCCATCGTTTTTGTCGAAAACTATCACTCGTACGGTAAAAATGAATAGGACATAAAATGTTTATCTCTGTGAGATCTAAAACTTTTGTATAAAACATTTATCATGATTTTCCGTATTTACTGAGATAAGCGTAAAAACTATAATTTTTATGGGTTTTTCATGGTTTTCACCATGAAAATCAAATAGTCGCCAATTTTCACTATGATATTCGTAATCAGCGCATCAAAATACGTAAGAATACTGAGTTTCAAAAAAATCGGGGGTGAGTACTTTTCGGAACTACACCCGAAAAGAGTTTATGTCATGAAAATTTGCTTGAATAGAGAGCTCATCGGTATATAAATCACATTTACATTCACATTTCTCTCTCTTTCTCTCTCTCCCTTTCGCTTTCTCCTCCTTCGCGCAGTCCATACCTCTTGTTAGAAGCTGGTGACCTCTCTATATATGTATCTACGGTGTGTGTCTTTTTATAGTTTTCACAGACATATGGGACCTATATAAATGCCGCTTCCAAACGGCCTACATTAAAAAAGTTGTCTTGGCAAGATACTCTCGGTGATTTGCTATTGCCTGCCGAGAGATGGCAAAATCAAATAGATTCGATGTTTCTAACTGGATTTGAAACCGAGCACAGAAAGCAGATGCACAATTCTTATTGTCAGAGAAATTCAACTTGATTTAAGGATCCCTAAATCAACAGCACACAAAGTTTTGAAGTCAACTTGATATTATCCATATCACATTACTTTGATTGAAGCGAAATCTTTGTTTGAACGAACGATTGAATGGAATTTTCTAATAGAGTTTTAAGGAAGATTAAGATCCAATATATGACTTTTCAATTTTGTTCTCTTTAGTGATAAAGCAATTCTTCTATTGAAATATTAAATCATCATAATTGCTACTACTAGTCCGTCGAAAATTTTCAGATAAATATAGCAAATTATGAAAATCAATGAAATCTAAATATGTGATATGGACTTATTAACGGATATCTTGTTTATTCGTATTTTTTTTAAGTGTGACTTTTACTGTGACTAATGAAAAGTATTTGATTTTTCTCCAAAATTAATGTTAAGAGAGAAAATATGAAATTATTATATCTTAATGAGAAAGACACAGCATATAGTTTTGGAGATTTAATATACTAAAGTTCAATCGCTTATTGCTATCTATCTCGTATTTAAGTTTTTTCGTGAAAGTATATAAAGTCTATAAAGTACACAGTAGTAACATTAAAAATGTAATATATTGTATTTTTCTATCAGTATAATTTCGGATACAATCCCAATACAAGGGATTCTAGATCTTGAACTAATTGTTCAAGATTTGGAAATGGACAGATGAATATTCAAATGAGCGAAAATAGATTTACATCTACTTGGAATGCAAAATAGAATTTTAATTTTCATATAAATAAACTCTTGAGTTTTATGAATCGAGTTTTTTAAATTAAATTAATTTATTATTTATTTTTAATAATGTCATTAAAATACATTTATCAAAAAGACATCATGGAATAATTTAAAATATAATAATACATTTCGTAACATTTCAAAATTATCAATGTACCGCTAATCGTGAATGAGAAATCGACGAGTTGTCGTCATGTTGCTGTCAAATCTCTTGTTTACGGATAGCAAATCAGTATTGACACATTGCCGTCATCAATTTGCTGTTTTTAGAATTAGAATTTACATGAATTCAACAAACACAATGCTGTCGCATCTTGTCCCTTGTTTTCCAAAATTAATTGTTTCAATTGTTAGCAACATGACGGCAACCTTACGGATAGTTGGCTTCCTGGATATGAGATTATAGATCTTTTTTATCGAGAATGGTCAACCATAATGAACAATATGATTATGATATAAAAAAACGCATTTGTGTTGCATATCGTAATATCCCACTCAATTACTTGTCAAAATTTCAACATTTTCGTTCAACATTTTTATCGTCATGTTCAATCATGTGTTCTGATAATTCAATAAGTGCTAATCATTGAACATTTTCTGAACTGAATAATAATCTATCTATGATATTGAATTAAATATTGCCACGTCTACGTCGAGATTATTATTTTTTTTGATCTTGGATACGTTGAGAGTGAGAATTACGCTCTTTTACAAAGAATTTTTGAATAACTTTTAAACTAATAGACAAATAAAAAAAAACGTTTTAAATAAAAATTGTAAGAATTAAAGAATAAAATGTTAATTTATTTAGAAAAATAGGTTGTTATTTAAAACAATTAAGTTGACCCTGAAATGAACTTGAAAATCGTTATCTCTGAAATATTCAAGATTACTATGTTATATTGACCTCTATAATTTTTTCTTCTAACATTTGTTTGTATAACTCTTAGTTGGATATTTGAATATTACATTGAAATAAGGATATATTTTAAATATTACTTTAAAGTGGGATATTCTGTATAAAATTATGGTAAATATTTAGATTAACGTACCCACCTCCAATGACTTTGACCTTGACATATGTTGTCAAGGTCACTGTCCTGAGTAACATCCAAGAGGTTTTAGCCGTCGCTCGTTGTTTATTAAAAAGTTATTAACAAAAGAATTTAAATGAAATGTACGTAATTTTCAAACAACGTGTATATAAGAATAGTGAGTTTGTATGTTGACCTACTGTAGGACTTCTCAATATTTATTATTGTTTACTAAAAGCTTTCACTTCTCTATTATTGCCAGTCTTTGTGTTACTCTTATCGAATTATCATGTATCTATACGAATTTCTACATTTAACACATAATTTAGCGAGATCTACCCCACAATTCTTGTGTGGCTTGGAAAATGTATGCGTGGACGCAGTGGGTTCCGCCCCCCCCCCTATGGGGGGGCTCCACTTTCGGAAGATATAATCTAACCCAAACCAAATTTTAGTTTTAAATTAGAAATAGGTTTGGGTTAGGTTATATCTTCCGGAAGTGGAGCCCCCCCGTAGGGAGGACGGAATCTACTGCGTCCACGCATATACTTTACAACGCATATACTTTCGGCTTGTTTCAAGCCAAAGGACGGGGGGAAGGGGGGTGTGGGATAGACCTTGCTTTGTGTGGAAAGTCGAAAACCCATGTGGAACAGAACAATTACAAATTTCGTTTTGGACCGAAGCAACTATTTTCTGTTTTAACAAAAAGACTCTTCAATATATCAACGATTTACTCCTTTAAATAACTTTTCTTTATACATGTACTATTTCCACATTTGAATACTTAAAATAACTGCTATATTTCTCAAACTTTTTTTGTTAATAACTTTTTAACGAACAACGAGCGACGGCTAAAACCTCTTGGATGTTACTCAGGACAGTGACCTTGACAACATATGTCAAGGTCAAAGTCATTGGAGGTGGGTACGTTAATCTAAATATTTACCAAAATTATATATCAATACAGACATACAAATTGTAATTTGCTAATTAAATTAAATAAATCGATAGAAGGTATATAGAAAAACATTATATTTAAATATATATTTACTCATTAAAATAAAATGCAATTAAAATAAAAAAGATAAATAACTTTTCTATAGCAGCAATATAAGGCTAGTTTAAATAATAGTTTAAGATAAATTCATATAAAATTTGAATAATATTTGAATCTGTTTCTATCATCTCTTTAAGCAGGGTAAATAAAAAAATTATAATAGAAAAATGTTATTATATAAACATGAAGTAAATATTCATGATATGGCATACCTAGATAACCTGTCTAATGTTATCTCTGGAATAATATAACCAGTATTACGATTAGCAACAGGAAACAATTGTTCATGTAACATTAGATTATGATTTGCATTATAACGTTGCGGTAATCTCCTTGGACCAAGCGGATCCGATATCATTGGTACACCTGTAATTGGATCTAAGACATAGAATTATGAATAAGTTAATTTGTAAGGCATAAAGTATGTTTGGTTTTAAGGAAATCCATTCTTCTTTATTTATGTTTGAATGATTATCTAATACAAAATTATATTTACCCAAGTATTGTGAGTAAAGTTCCCAAGATTTTGGACTTGGAAATATTCTGACAAATCCACCTCTTCTCTCGAATTGTGCTTTTGCAGATGCTATTATTCGTTGTTGCTCTAAACTTAGACTTTTATTTTTATTACTTCTATTAATATTCTTCTGTTTTTCCTGAGGTAATATTTCTGCAGACTGTACTCTTCTATACTAAGACAAAAGAAAAAAAAAACAAGAATCTGCTTAATTTGCTTATCATGTTATTTGAATGCCCTATAACCATATATATGTCTGCTGAATATACAATATTTTATTTTAATTTTTCAATCAAACATATTTTATTTTTATCCACATCAAGTTTAAATACAATATTTTGTTCTTATTTTTTGCTAATCAAGAATAGAAAATCAATTAAAATTGTTTCTCTTTTACTATATTTATAATCCAAATATGAATAATTTATTATTAAATAATTTTAAAGTTTGTAAAAAATTAAATATTTAAAGATTATATTTTGTATGGATATAAGAGATAAAAGAAAAAAAAAATTACAAAATAAATGTAATATTCAGAAAAAATATAATAAAATAACTTACACTAATCTTTTTATTGGAATTAACGGCAGCACGATTTAAATTTTGAGAACGTAGAATTGGATCAACAGCAGGTATGCCAATAAGAGTAAATAAATCTGCTATTAAAGCTGACTTAAGTCTAACGTCTAATGGTGAATCGCATCCCAATGAAGGAGTTAAATTTACTTCCAGTAACCACGGCTTCAGCGTATCATCAATTAGTATATCAAAGCCAAATAGTTCTAGAATAAAAACAATATATCTATATATATATATATATATATATATATGTGTGTGTGTGTGTGTGTGGGTGTGTGCGCGTGTGTGTGTGCGCGTGTGCGGATGCGGGTGTGGGCGCGTGTGCGTGTGGGTGCAGGTGCGGGTGCGGGTGCGAGTGCGGATGACGGTGCGGATACGGATGCGGGTGCGTGTGCGTGTATGTGTGTGTAAATTATATATATACCCAGATAGCGTAAGTCTGCCAGATCACATATTGCACAAATTGTGCATTATATATTATTATATGTATTATTATATTATATATGATATCAGCAGAACTCCGGCAGCCGCCGCGCATGATCTACCATCTCAATTAGTGCCGCCAGAAAACAAGCAATCTCTCTCATAGAAACAATAGATTTTAAACATAGCATACTAGCGCAATATGTCAACAAAAATTAAATAAAAAATAAGCATAACATGACATCATGGTCTGTTATCATAAAATAATGGCAGATATACACCAATATCATATAGGATTTGTATAGTAATATCAGATTATACAGAGTGAACCATTTTAATCAATCCACGCGGATATCTCGAAAAGAAGAAATTTTTCAAAAAAAATGTTTCAGACAAAAGTTTTATGGCTTTGAGGGTGCCACATGATCAAAATATGGACTTAACCTTGAGTGACCTTTTCAAGGCCAGGTCAATGTGATCGATGTTTTCTTAAACGGAACTCCCCATTTTCTATTGCATATTCTTGTAGCTTATCTCGAGAGCTTTTGAAAACACTATAATAAAGTATTCTTTCATTAAGTTGTTTTATATCTTAATCTGACATATTTTGATATAAAAAATAAAATATCTCGTAAAATATTTAGTTTTCGATAATCTTACCATAATACTTTTATGTACAAAATAATGAGACAAATCAGTTAGTGTAAAAAAATCAAATTATTGTTTAAAAAAATATATTGTAAATAATTACATACTTTTTCTTAAAAACAATTATTTTTTTATACTAATTGATTTGTCTCATTATTCTGTACATAAAAGTATTACGGTAAGATTATCGAAAACTAAATCTTTTATGACGTTATATACCGACCGAAGTCGTGGTCGAGATGGCGCTCTAAACATATCAGAAGAGGAGTGGGGAGAGTTATAAAACTGAGGGACTCTCTCTCTCTGCGCTCTCTGGTGTGTGTACAAGTCTTCCGCGGTTACCGGCTCTTATTAAGTTCAAGTAATACAGCTATTACAAAACATTCGTTGTACTCGACCCTCGAATACACAACATATGAGATATTTTATTTTTTATATCAGAATATGCCAGATTAAGATATAAAATAACTCAAAAAGTACTTAATGAAAAAATACTTTATTATGTGTTTTGAAAAGCTCTCGAGAACTATAAGAATATGCAATAGAAAATGGGGGGTTCCATTTAAGAAAACATCGATCACATTGACCTGGCCTTAAAAAGGTCACTCAAGGTCAAGTCCATATTTTCATCACGTGGCCCCCTTGAAGCCATAAAACTTTTGTCTGAAACATTTTTTTTGAAAAACCTTTTCGAGATATTCGCGTGGATTGATTAAAATGGTCCACCCTGTATATAGTTTTTTCGTTTACCATTGCATTATGTATCTATTTTGTTTTCAAATTTCTGTTATGGGCAAATATAAAAATTGCAAAGTGCGGCTAACAAGATTAAAAATGTGTAATATCTTTTTTATCAGTTTAATTTCTGAGACCCAATCCTAATAATGGTCTCAGGATATTAAATTGAAAATTTGGAAATCGAGTGGATCAATAGTAAATTGTCAATTTATTGATTGTTTGAGATAAAAAATAAGAATTCAATTTCGATATAAATCTTAAGATTTATGAATTATGAATAAATAAATAATTTAAATTCATTTATTTAATTAATTATTTATTTATTAAAAAACTGGGCTAATTATTTACATTATGTAGAATATAACTACGATATAACATGCTATATATATTGTTATTATATATTATATTTATGATTAGAAAATTACAAGTTACTGACAATTTATCGTAAACATTTATGCAATAATATTTATAATATTCTATTTTATTGCATTTACTTATATACTAATAATTGTATTTTATCTTTATCGTGTTTTTGTTATCACATTGCGACAGCAAAACTATGCTCGAGTTTTGCTGCGTTTCTGCCTTTAACAGTTGATGAGATAGATTGTGTTTTATTCTTGCCGCATTTAACGTTGTAACGGCAGGCCACAATTGATTTCTACCGCATTTCTGCCGTCAATGTCCGATATGATAGATTTCGCACGATATTTATTACACATACGCTGTCACGACGTAACAGCAAATAATACTCGATTTTTGCACTATTTTCTCTATTATATTGTATCGGCAGCCGTGCTGCCACAAATTAAGCTTAATGAAGACGCAACAGATCAGAATCTGCTGCAAAGTCATAATTGAATTTGCTGGCATACTGCTAGCATTTTGCTCTATCTGCGTATATATAAATATACATATATCAAGACCAACTATATATTTCTACTTATATATTTGTGCTTATATACAGCGTGTTCCAGGGTCACGCACTATCTTTTAATGACAAATTCTTGAAATCATTTTGAGATTTTTATCAGCGAATTTTTGCTCAGCGAAAATAACAAGGTATCAATAAAAGGACTTTCCGCAAACTAAACTTGTTATTTTGTGAAATTAAAAGATTAATAGAATTGCATTTTTCAATTATTTTCAGATAAAGTTAAATACAAAGAAAAAGAGAATTTTATAATAATTATTTTATAATTTAGTTACAAAATTATACAGGGTGGGGCATTTATATTGAGACACCTAAATATCTAAAACATAAAGCAAAATAGAAAGAAATGTTTGAGACAAAAGTTGTTCGGTTTTAAGGGGGACACATGATGAAAATATGGACTTGACCTTGAATGACCTTTTCAAGGCCATGATCATCTCCGTCCTACCCTCCGTGAATTCGAAGAGCGAGGTCGTGCGATTGCGCAGATTCGTCGCGCTTTGTATCGGATGCGATTGACCGGTCGTTCCAACAATTATTTCATTAATTTCTTTTTGTTTTATTTTTTATTTTAATCTGACATATTTTGATATAAAAAATATCTCGTAAAATATTTAGTTTTCGATAATCTTGCCGTAATATTTTTATGTACAAAATAATGAGACATATCAATTAGTGTAAAGAAAAAAACAAATAATTGTTTAAAAATTACATTGTAAATAATTACATACTTTTTCTTAAAAACAATTATTATTTTTTTACTGATTGATTTGAAGGTCATTCAAGGTCAAGTTCATATTTTCATCATGTGTCCCCCTTAGAACCGAACAACTTTTGTCTGAAACATTTCTTTCTATCTTGCTTTATTTTTTAGATATTTAGGTGTCTCAATATAAATGCCCCACCCTGTATAATGTGGCAAAAATTGATATTTGAAAAAAATGATGACCTCTCTCGACATTTTCTCTGAGAAAAATCGTTTCTAAATGATTTCAAGAATCTGTAATAGTTGGTGCAATGACTCTGGAAGATACCATATGTAGAGAAAATGAATACGTGATTATATTATATAAGTACTTTTAAAAAGTGCTTATCATAAAAAATAATTATTCGTTGATTTTAAACATTAAAAATAATTTTCTAGTTTGTTTTTATCTCTATGTGTGTATAATAAAATATATTTTATTATATTATTTTTATATTATAATAGGTTAATAAAAATGTTAACGAAAATGTTATTTATAATTTATATATTTATTAGAAAAATCAATTATTACCAAAACATGTATCAGGATGTTTCACGAATTGCTTTAAACCACTGACAATTCCAGATGCAGTAGCAAGGATTGACTTTATAATAATATCTTCTATTCGTTGCATTAGCGATTCTGTGTCTTGACCCATTGAACGCAAGTGTCTGAGCAATGCTGACAATGTCCACTTGTGTCCTATATTTTCGGCGTCAGGATCTTCACTCCTAATCATATTAAACCCTTTCTATACATACCTTTTTTATAGCGAATTTTTCATTCATTTCTTTTTTTAGTTTTTATTTCTCTTTAATTTTGCCTCATCTTTATCTTCTTTTCCCTTCCATTGCATTCTTTAGTTATGCTTTTTACTCTCATCTCTTGCCTCTTATTTTATCTCTCTTTCGATTTTTTCCCCCCATTATTTTCATTACTATTTCACTAATATTGTACGAATTGTAATATTTAAATGAAATAGTAAGTACTGCATTATTTTTATTATATTACTGAGGCAATTGTTTGAAAATTTTAGGCAGAATAAAGTCAAGCACACAGAAGTGTGTCAATAATTTATATTTATAAGCGATCTTTACCGCAAAGCTTTCTCAAAACTTAATTACTTTAATATTGGCATTTAGCTAATTTAAATTATTGCTTTGAATTATATTCTTCATCACAAACAACTTTATCTTAATATTCTGACTAATGGTTTATTACAACTTACTTTACGTAATCCACGTGAAATTTGTTTATACTGTAATTGCAAAGATGCATGCAAGGATTCCAGATGTATTGGTTTCCGCCGTCATATTTAACAGCTGCAAATCTCACTAAACCTTCTTCGTATAAATAAATTAGCAGAGGATCGTAATTCGTTACAGCTACGTAGAGACGCAAATCGCACTTGTGTCCATCAACTAAAAGCGGGTTATTTATGTATTGTGCCACAATAACCGATTCATCCGTCAAGATCTTCTCAGGCTATAACAGCATAATGAACATTTGGACATAGATATGAGTATCAGTGTATTTAGATTATCAATTTTAAAACTAAAATTATATTCTTTCGGTAAAACCGAAAAAAGGACCCCGCTTTAGCATTAAGTGTAAATTTTGTGATATTTTTTAAACTTTCTAGACAACAATTATATTGAGCACAAACTAATGCACTGTATGTGTTGTTATATATTTGTTGTACGTCTGCTAACATCGTAATAGAACGCATTACCGAATGCAACAACATGAATACTTGTACAAGCAATCAGTTGATGAAATTTCAAGAGCAAACGATCAATAATACTGGTACATTATGTTATCAGCAACAGACGACAATAACACAAACATAATGATTTCCATTCGTTATCGCATATATTTCCGCAAGCAATGAAATTTTTTTAATTGTAGCTCGTCAAAAAACCTTTAAAAATATGAAATTGTTGCACATTTATATTAAAAAAACAACTCTCGAGATTTAATGTACAAAATTCGTTTGCTTATCGCTATGCAACGCACTATGCTATTTATCCCGTATTCAATTGTTTTTCATGAGAGTATATAAAATCTGCAAAGCATAGCTAATAATATTAAAAATGTGACATATTTTTCTATCAGTTTAATTTCTGATACAATCCCAACATAAGGATTTCAGATTTTGAACTAATTATTCGGAAATGAACGAAAATCGTTGGTTTTTTACATCTTCTTAATATGTAAAACGAAAATCTAATTTCCATATAAATAAAATCTTAAATTTTATGAATTAAGTTGTTTAAATTTTAATTATTTATTATTTATTATTTATTTAATGATGTCATTAGAAAACATTTTTCAAACAGACATCATGGAATAACGTTAAAATATATTAGTACCTTTCGTAACGTCAAAAAATTTTGTGGTAAATATAGCGAATAGGGGACCCAGCCCCAATGACCTTGACCTTGACATATGTTATCAAGGACATAGTTCTGAGTAACTTTTTCTTCTAATTTAATCGTCGCTCGTTGCTTATTAAAAAGTTATTAACAAACAAAAATTTGTAAAAAGCGACGATTAAATTAAAAGTTAAAGTTACTCAGAATTATGTCCTTGACAACATATGTCAAGGTCAAGGTCATTGGGGCTGGGTCCCCTATTCGCTATATTTACCAATTTTGTTAACGTGCCGTTAATCGTAAATGACAAATCAACGACAACGTCAAGTTGCTGTCAAATCTCCTGTTTGCAGATAGCAAATTGATGTTAATATGTTTGCCATCAATTTGCCATTCTTATAATTATAATTCACGTGAGTTAAATACAACAAACACAATGCTGTCGCATCTTGTCCTTAGTTTTTCAAAATTAGCTGTTTCAACAATTGTTTGCATCATAACAGCAACCTCACAGACACAGAGTTGGCTGTCTGGATTCTTTTCTTAATCTTTTAATGAACAATAAGCAATGGTTAAAACCTTTTACAGGTTAAGAGTGATGACCTTGATAATATCAAGAACAAGGTCACATTGAGACCGGGTCTTCTTTTTGACAGTTTTACCACTCTCTCTCTCTCTCTCTCTCTCTCTCTCTCTCTCTCTCGCTCTGAAATAATGTAATTTCAGGATATTCACTCAAATCATTTAAAAGAAATACTTGAAAATTCCGAATTTTCCAGATATTTTTATTCAAGAATCCAGATAAATAGAATTTTTTAAAGATTTTTTGAATGTAATTTTTTAAAGATTTTTTGAATGTAACTTTTTAAAATAAATTTTTTATTGTATGCGTTTACCAATGTTTTTCACTCATATGTACAAAAAAATAAGATGTTACTTAAGTTCCAAATGCTAGATTTAAAAATATAGTGAAAAAATTGAATTGAGCTTTTATGAACTGAACATTTTCATTTGCATAACATTTCATTTTTTATCACTTTAAATTACAATAAATAATATGTACTACATATTCAATATTTTGTTAAGACATTGAATATGTGCGTGTAAACTAAGATAAATATATACACGCGTATTTTTATATTTATATTTGGTAATTATGCATATTAGGGGCGACCTCACCGATTTCACAACTTTTTAATAAACAACGAGCGACGGCTAAAACTTTCTGAAAGTTATTCAGGAGCGTGTTCTTGACAACATATGTCAAGGTCAATGAAATCGGTGAAGTCGCCCCTAATATGCATAATTACCTGTATATTTTAAACACATAATTCACAACTTAACCAATCGGCGGATTGCCTATTACTTAACCTCTTAAGATTATTGCTCACAATATAAGAGTAAAATATTAAAAAGGGAAGTTTTTTGAATAAATTTGTAGGGGCCTAATAAAATTCCACGAGAATTTCCTCATTTTTCCAGGTTCTCTATGTTTTTCCAGATAGATACCCTGAATTTGATATGAACCAAGCATGTATTTATGTGTGTATAAACGCATTAATAGATAATTAAAATTTCCATGAAATCGCATTATTACAGAGAATGTGAGTAAACTTCGCAATTTAAACAAAATATATACGAAGACTGACAATTAAGTTCGTAGAAAATATTTATTACAGTTACAGAGCATACTTATTCGTTATCTAATACACGGTCCTCTTTAAAATAGTCCCTTCCTAAAGCAATGCACTTGATCCAATGTTTTTTCTATTGCAATCTTCAAAATCATTCTCCGTGAGGCTGTTTAGAACACGCGTCAATTATTCTATCTCCGCTCGTGACCCCCAATGACGATCCTTCATGTCTTTTTTGATTTTGGGGAATAGAAAAAAATCGGAGGAGGTCAGATCGGGCCCCCTCTGACTTTTTTTTATTCCCCAAAATCAAGAAAGACATGAAGTATCATCATTGGAGGTCATGAGCGGAGGTAGAATGGATGACGCATGCTCTAAACAGCCTCACAGAGAATGATTTTGAAAACTGCTTCCTGCAACGGAAAAAACGTTGGACCTAGTGCATTGCTTTAGGATCTATTTTAAAAAGGACCGTGTATCAGATAACGAATAAATATGTTTTGTAATTGTAATAAATATTTTCTACGAACTTAAGTGTCAGTCCTCGTATATGAAGCATACAGATGTATTAATACAAAACGTAAAGATAAAAAATTATTTTTAAATACAATTTGACAATGAGAATTAAAAAATTCAATTGCACAAATAATATAGAGGATATTAATTATAATGACATATAATTTCAAAGAATGAAATATATATAGATGAAAACATTTCTTTTTAAATAATTATATATCTAAACTGAAAAATTATAATATATCTACTTATGCAACGTATGTATTACATATTTTTTAATTATTATATTATTTAATAATTAATGCTTTATTTATATTCACATCATATGCTTCTTTTTATATCTTTTTTATCTTTTTATATTCAAATTTATGTAGAGGAAAGAGGGGTAAGATAACGATCTTAAGGTTTGTCGATTTTTCTTAATTTCTATGATCGTGTAAAAATAATGATTTACAATGGAACCTCGACATAGTGCACAACATACGTGTTAGACCACTCTCGAGTAGAGGAAGTAACGATCCAACCGCGCAGCAACGCGTAAATCTGTGGGCTCAATTTTTCTTTTCCGGTGATATATTTGAATGGACATGTTCGTGCAAGTCTCGCGCAGTCGTTACAGCCCTGAATTCGATGGAAGTGGGATAACCTCATTATGGTACCTCATGATCTCTTTATGCTACCAACAGTCTAAATACGCGTATATATATACACACACACACACACGCACACGCACACGCACACACGCACACGCACACACGCGCGCGCACGCACACACACACACACACACACACACACAGTACCAGTCCAAAGAATTGCATTATTTATAGAAACAAAGAAGTCGTTACTCTAATGAACAAGCACATGTATAAATATTATATCTTATTACTGTTATTTTATGCTTTAATAGCATAAAAATTAAAAATTATAAATAATAACAAAAATATTAAATTTTTGATTTTTTAAGATAGCCTCCCTTTGCTTTCAATAGTGCTGCACATATTCTTGGCATTCTTGACAACAGTTTTTTAAAGTTAGGTTAGGTTACCGATATTTGATTCCAGCATGTTTGCAAATATTCCCACAGTTGTTTTTGATTAATAGGTTTTATTTTTCAAACACTTCTATCAAGTACATCCCACAATAATTCTATCGGATTAAGATCTGATGATTAAAAGGGCCACGTCATATTTTGTAATTCATGTCTTCTATCTTCATTTGCTATATAATTTGTACATAATATCGATGCATGTTTTAGATTATTATCTTGTCTCCCCCAGTAAATACAATATACATATAACTGTTATGTAACATGTTTTAACATGTTAGTTACATGTAACTTACACATAAGTTACAATTTTCCACTCGTAGATGTAACACATTTGTAATATAATATATGTTACATTGTACTAATATCCCATATAACAGCTAAAAAATTACCTTTTTAAAAAAAAGTGAATAAAGGCGCCAAGTGCACGCGCACAAGCATCTTTTGCTATAAAAAAACTTATACAAGATAGTGTTATTTCAATTTATTGTAAAAAATTCTTATATAAAATAGTGTTATTTTAATACAAAAACACTGTCATATTTAAACTAAAAAACTGTTTTACAAAAGTTGACTATTGTTTAATTTTTATGTTTAATTTATTATCCGTGGTGTTTTGCTGTTTGTTGTTTATTTACTTTTTATTCTCTGACCGTTGCCGATATTTATTACAAGCAAATTTATGCATCTCTTTATGTAAGTTCTCCACTTTATATCGCTTTAAAATTTCATTCTCGTCAAACGTGCGTTTCCTCGTAATTTAAATGTTTCATGCAGAGAGATGCCTGCAACCGTTACCATAATAAATATTTTAACTAGTGGTCGTGGACTATGGGGTTTAGGCCTCTGGTGGTCCATCAACCACAGAGGAGCGCATCTTACGGACTACGACTTTTTGACCATGTTTTGACTGCG